ATTTTATGTTAAAATTTACCTAAATAAATTACTACCAATTATATAACTTTCTAAAATTGATAGTATAACATTTTAAGTTTATAATCCATCAGAAATTAGACTTAGGTTTCCCCACCGCACATCATAATTACTATTATCCCTTATCCCTAAGACAGTAGAAGCGATGATTCTGGCGCTTCTCAAAAACAAAAACTCCAAAAATACTTGGATCATCGAGCCATATACAACGACTCTTGTTTGGCTGCACGATTGAGATATCTTTAGGTTTTTCAAAACCCTATCTTCCCTGTGATATGGACCGTTCATTCTTGCCCTAATCCAATGGAAAATGTGCATGCGACGCTAGATTAAAGTCCCCAAAATCCCTAATGTGCTTTTGGACCTCCTCTATGCCTAGCAGAGCAGTTTCTAGGTCAGGCAGGCTTGCTTGTCGGGCTCTCTTTTGCTGGGTCAGTAGACGAGCCTTAGGAGTGTTTGGTTCGTTGGAATCCCTTAGAATTAGGGGGAATTAGATTCCAATTCCATCATTTTTTCACGTTTGGTTCAAGTTTTCAAATGGGGAATTGAAATCCAATTCCATAAAGGGAGGGAAAACAATTACATCCATAACATGATGAAATTGAAATCCTTTGGAGGAAGGAATGTGAAATTTGACCATACTACCCTTATCAATCTTTTGGTATTCATGTCGGATTTTTTTAAAAAAAATTCGGGTTCGAATCGGCTTTTTTAAAGTTTGATATTCGGGTCGGGTTTTTTTCAAAAACAATTTTGGGGTCGGTTTGATTTTTTTTTAAAAATTTAGGGTTCGGGCTAGGTTTTTTAAGTTTGATATTCAGGTTGGGTTGGGTTTTTTAAGTTTGATATTCGGGTCAGATTTTTTTAAGTGTGATATTCGGGTCGGGGTCGGGTTTAGGGTGAAAGATACCCGACCCGACCCGAAAAAAATATATAATTTTACCTTATATATATAGAAATAATTACAATAATACCCCTCTATATATAATTTTTTTCAATTAAGTCACTATTTTTATTGAATAATTTTGTTTTATTATTTCGGGTCGAGTCGGGTTTCTAATTCATATATTCGGGTCGGGTCGGGTGAAACTTTATTTTGGTCAGGTCGGGTCTCGGGTGGAAGTTCCCTTATTCTCGGGTCGGGTCGGGTGGACCAAAAACCCGACCCATGGCTATCCCTAATTGGGATGATTTTAACTTATGATGTTTATTAGTATGATTTTTATAATTTATTGAAATGAATAATCAATCAATAAATTGAAAATTTAATATTTTTTAAATTTTATATATAATATATTGCTACAGGTAAGTTATAAAACAAACTAAAATTAAGCAAAAAAACAAGAAGGACAATTATGTCATTTTACATCACTGAAATCAAATTCATCTGACATGTCTGCGAACCAAACAGAATATGGAATTGGATTCCAATTCAATTTCCTGCCAACCAAAAAGGTTTCAGATTCAGATTCCATTTCCTACAGATTCCAATTCTTTCACAGATTCCAATTCCTTCACAGATTCTAATTATTTCACAGATTCTAATTCCCTCAGAAACATTCTTGCGAATCAAACGCCACCTTATTCTTGGACCTTTGCTGGAATGCTTCTTGACTTTGTTGGACCATGTTGAATAATTTGGACCTTGACTCTTGGATTTAGATAGGAACTTGGACCGAACTTGAAAATTAAAAATAAAGCAATGATATTAAATAATAATAAAAATGATAAATATAAATATATAATGTTATTCGATTTCACAGATTTCTAGTTATTCTAGTTGATGAGTCGTATTTTACAACTCGAACTTAACTTGAAATTTTTTCGAGTCGAGTCAAGTTTAAGAAATTCGAGTCGATTTATTCGATTTTCTATTCTAATTTCATTATAATTATTTATAGTATTATGGTCAGGATTTGTTACAAATTTTATACTTAGAACTATATATATATATATATAATTTTCTTTTCACATTATAATGTTATTTAATATATCAAATACAATCTAAAATTATAAAATATATTCAAAATATTATATTTTTAAGTAAGTATTTTGAGGGTGAAATATTGATGAGAGTATAAAGGAATAAGGATTTGATGAGAAGAAAGAATTTGCAAACAATTGTAGTCAAAAGACGAAATTGAGTAAAATACAAAGCTAAGGGACCAAATAAAAAAAAGAGAGAGTACTTTTTAAGTAAAAAAAAAAAGCAAGAATTGAAGATACACATGGCTATTCTATTGTGGCATATGGGCATGTGGTTCAAATTTGGGGAAAAAGGATTTAAAATAAAGGATGAATTGAAAAAAATAAATAAATTATGAAAAAAATGAAGGACTAAATTGAAAAATCAAAAATTTGTTATAAAAAAGGAATTGAAAGTACATATGTTTTCTATAATGATTTAGCAATATGTGGTTTAAATTTGGTAAAAAATGAACTTAAAATGAAGGAGGAATTAAAGGAATAATAAAATCAGGGATTAAATTATAAAACTATCAAAATACTTAGTCATATTTTTAATTTTTCGAGCAACTCGAAATTTCAAAATTACAACTCAACTCGAACTCAAAAACTGAATTAATAATTCAAGTTGACTCGAATAACTCGACTCGAATAATTCAAAATTGAAAAAAAATCTATTTTTCGAATCAAGTCGAGTCGAGTTTTGCTCACTTATATATATATATATATATATATATATATATATATATATTAAAAACTATATATTTTATAACATACATAATATAATATAAATATTATATATATATATATATTATTGTATAGAAATTCTCGAAATAATTTGGACAAAAATGGGTGTCTACATCTACAAAAGATTTAGAAAATAGTTAATTGAAACTACATAAAAATGTTTCTAAGGTTGTTAAATTATTGAGTTTGGTAGGTTATTATTGTCGGTTCGTTAAGTTATTTTGGATATACGATCCAAGTGACATTTATATGATATAAAACAAACATTGTTGACCCTTCGATAGAGTGGTCTTTAAAAATGAACATGGATAAAATCGAGTCACCTCAGTAACAAAGGAAATAGCCTTTATAAGGGGTTGATATTGAAAACTTTAGATTCATCTCCTATCTACAACTATGTCATGCATCACGTATAAGTTTCCTTGCTTATTATATTTGACTTGTATGAAATATGATAGAATAGTTGTGTATTATTGAGTTTGTAAAGCTAAGTGTTCGATTGTTTCTCATGCACTGGTTAGTAGGTTTTTCTTGATTCAAGGGAGCAACGTCCGTAAAGAATCTCCAACAATCTTTATTCAGAGTACAACGCTGATATTTTAGAAGACATGTAAATTCACGTAGGCCTTACTTCTATTTTAAATTTAACTCTGAATTCATAAGTCCTTTGGGTCATTTTATCTTAAACACATCTTGAGTTAGAACTTCAGGTTTTGTTAAATATTTCATTTAGTGTAATTTATGGAACAGACTATCATTGATGACAAATTATGATATATTTATCGTGAGTTTCAAGGTATGAATGTTTGAACCGCTCATAAGGTACAATGTAACGTCTTAGACCCACCATTTATAATGGACTGAATTTAGGGTGTAATAATTTTTTTAAATTTTCTTTGCTTTTATTAAAGAAATAGAACTACACCTAATCCATACGGTAGTCGACACATATACCACATTTAGCAGGTTTGACTTATACCACATTATAGGGATGTGTGCAATATATAGTCGACGCATGCATAATCATGTGATCTTATTCAACCTCTTGAAACGTTTGGAACGTGCCCCGATCATCCCGAAATTGAACTCTCAACCCCCTGGAAATCAGTATAAAAATGCAGCGGTCTGAATCAGTGTGAAGCAAGCGTATACATTGACCGCTTGACTATGGAAAACAAGGGGCCAATGGGCAGCCTGCAAGGCGTTGAAAACTTGAACTGACCTTTCCTTGAAACCTCATCGCTCAAAAACAATGCGTATTCCTTTGACTCTTAACCCCATCTGACGTCCTCTCGGCATCTTGGTCTTCCAAACCTCTATCTCCACATATATAATATTAGGTTATTAGCCGCAATTTTAGTTAGAGTTCTTCATTTTTCACAATCATTAATCTCGGGTAAAATAAGACCTCGGTCACTCAATTATTAGTTCGGTTATAAAAGGATAATTTTTTCTCCAACAGTTTCAATTCAGTCACTTAACTAAAATATCATCTCAAGCAGGTCGTTATATCATTAAAATTGAAACAAATGTCTAATGTGACTTGATATAAATAGTTTTAGTCCCTAGAACTTATGCATAGTATCAATTTGGTTCTAATATAAAATAATTCAATAAATTTAACTCTTCATACTTAGGAATTCCACCAATTTAGTGTTTTTTAGGGACTCTCAAATCAAGTAAGTCCATCGTATCAAAGCAATAGTTGGATAGCCTTAATCATAAAACTAAAACAAGTTATTGTTGAAGTAATATTATATTTGGAAAGAAACATGAAAGTAATATAACATTTTTGGGAGAAGAACAAGTAATTTAGGAGTACAAGACTAGGTTGATAGAATTTTTAACTATGAAAGGTTAAATTTATTGAATTGTTTGAAATTAGGACTAAATTGATCTAATGTATAAGTTTTGGAGACTAAAGCTATTATTATATCAGGTTGCATACCTATTTCGTCTAATATTTAATGGTCAATGACCTATTTGTAACTCTATTATAATTGAGTGATTAAATTGTAACTTTTAGAAGGACAAATGACTTGTTTGTAATCAAAGTAATAATTGATTTACCTAGGATGTATTTTACCCTTAATCGTTTTATGTCCAAACAGTGAAAGGTTGAAGTTGAATTTTTCTCAAATAGTTTACTCATTCTATTAAGATAATGAAATTGATCTTTCAACTGTTGGTGGGGGAGTTGACATTTCTATGCCTTCGAACCGTATAAGAAAAAGCCTCATTTCTCATACACCAATGGAGGTTTTATTGATGAAAATGTCAAGGGAAGATGCTGCTGTTAAACAAGAAGAAAACATTACTCAAACTGTCTGCCATGAAGATGGTTTCTGTCCAAAATCTAGCCAGGTAAATATACACACTCATGGATGTATGTATGTATGTATGTATGTATGTATGAATTTCTAAGTCAATTGTGTAAATATGTAATATAACTATGTGTGTTGATTAATTAGGAGGAAGAACTTGAATCAACAATGGAAGAAAACGAGAGGTTGAAGACGACGATAAAACAAATCCAGGAGAATTACAAATCTCTTCAACTGCGTTTCTTGGAAATGCTTCAACAAGGATCCGCCATTGAAGGTGCAGAAGAACCCGAACTTGTTTCACTTTCCCTTGGAAGAAGGCCAACTGGTTCCAAAAGAGATGATCAGAAGAGGACAAAAACAAGAACCAACAGCAAAACTGAAGCAGATGATGATGATCATAACATCAATGGTGGTCTAACTCTGGGATTAGACCCTAAATTTCTATTGTCTACTGAAAATAATTCAGACTTAACAAAGGAAGAAGATGATGATGCGGGAGAAACAAGGCAGCCAGCGAGCAAAGTTCAGAAGACAACAAATGGGAATCCTCATGAAGAGGAAGCAGGACTTAAAAGCCAAGCAAAGAGAGCTAGGGTTTCTGTAAGAACTAGATGTGAAGCACTAACGGTTAGTATAATGGCATAATGACAAACTTCCAGATATTTGCACAAATGACCATTTTGTTGTCTATTTTTTTCACCGATCATTTTAGTCTCCAACATGTTAATTTTGATTAAAACAGATATTGTTGGATAAAAATCATTAGTTTTATAATAGTAAATAAATGTCGCTGACGTGACATTTTCACATGTGTTCATTTAATGATGTGGCACGTATTATTTCATCACTTTAGTTGATGTGATATATGCTATGTCATCATTTTTGGTGATGTGACACATACCACATCACTAATTAAACACATGTGAAAATGTTACGTCAGTAACATGTGTTGATCGTTAATCAATTAACGGTTTCCATCCAACAAAGTATCTTTTAACCATAATTGAAACTTTAAAAGCTAAATGCTTTAAAAAAAATAGGGACAGAAGTATCATTTGTGCAAATTAAGCTTTCAAGCTTTTGTGTCCTGTAAGAAAACAGGTGCAAAGAAGTGTCGACGATATGTCCATCTTAATCACAACTTATGAATGGAACCACAACCACCCAATTCCGGAATCAGCCGCCGCCATGGCTTCCACCACCGCGGCGGCCGCTTCCATGCTGTTATCTGGCTCTTCAGCATCGCAACCATTCTCAACTGAACTCAATGGACTCAGTTTCAGCAGCTGCCTACATGATAACTCGAGATCACCTTCGTTCCCGACGATCACTCTAGATCTCACCGGCTCTCCGTCGTCGTTCCTCACCAACTCCCATACAACACCCAGATTTCCGTGGACGAATCTCAACTTTTCTTCCCAACATGACCAGTTTTACCAGGCGTTAACAAAGGCAATCACATCGGACCCAAGCTTCAGAACATTAATATCTGCTGCCATTTCAATGGTGGATCAAAGAGCCGAGAGTTTTGGTCATAATC